TGAGAAGGAAGCCCAAGGAATCTTGGTAGAGGAGGAAAGAGAATTGAGGTTTAGGATTAAGAAAGATTTGGAAGAAGTTTCATTAAGGGAAGAGATCAGTTGGAGACAAAAGTCAAGGTGCAAGTGGTTGAAAGAAGGTGATGGTAACACAAAATTCTTTCATATTTTGGCAAATGGGAGGAGGAAAAAATTTTGTGGCTAGATTGGAGGTAGATGGGCAAGAGATAACAAATCAAGATGAAATTGCCAGGATCTTCGTGGACCACTTCAAAGAAATCTTTAGGAGGTCCTTGGATGATAGATTACGACTGGAAGGTTTTGAGTGGCCCTAAGTGGAGACTGAAGTAGCACAGTGGATGGAGAGAGACATTGTGGAAGAGGAAATAAGGAAGGCAGTTTTCTCAATGAATAGTTCGAAAGCCCCAGGGCTAGATGGATTTACTATGGCTTTCTATCAAGACTGTTGGGACGTTGTAAAAGATGATCTTTGTGAGGTCTTCAATGAATTTGCAGAGAGGTTTATTGTGAGCCGAGGGGTGAATGCAACCTTTCTTGCCCTTATTCCAAAGAGGACTGATGCTAGCCATCCAAAGGACTTTAGACCCATTAGCCTAGTAACAAGCATCTATAAGATTTTGGCTAAGGTTCTATCTTTGAGATTAAAAGTAGTATTTCCAGCCATAATCAGTCAAAATCAGGGGGACTTTATCCAAGGGAGACAAATAACTGATCAAATTCTTATTGCTAATGAATGTGTGGAGGATATGAAAAAATTGAGGARGAAAGGTTTCGTATGTAAATTGGATATGGAGAAAGCTTATGATTTGGTAGACTGGAATTTCCTTGATGATGTAATGAAGAATTGTGGGTTTGGGGAGAGATGGTGCAATTGGATTTTTGGTTGCATTAATTCATGTCACTACTCTCCTCTGATTAATGGGGTTGTGAGAGACTTCTTTCCAGCCTGTTGTGGTCTAAGGCAAGGTGATCTCTTTCACCTTTTTTGTTCACCCTAGTAGAATGATCTCAAAGGCTGATAGGAAGAATGTAATAAAAGGGTGGAAGATTGGAAGGGATTTGGTGTCAGTGACACATTTGCATTTTGCAGATGATATCATAAGTTTCTTTGAAGAGGGTGAGCAAGGTGTGGTGAGGAATTTAAAGGAAATGGTGAGGAAATTTGAGTTAGGTTCTAATTTGAAAATTAATCTTGAAAAGAGTTGTGTAGCGGGAGTCAACTTGGAGGAAGGGGAACTAAACTCTGTTGCCTACTCCTTAGATTGTTCCATAGTTAGCTGGCCCTTGACCTACCTTGGCCTCCCTTTAGGAGCAAACCCTAGAGAAAACAGGTTTTGGAATCCAAATATTGAGAGGTGCAAAAAAGTTGGCAGCTTGGAAGAGAAGCTATGTGTCTTTGGGAGGAAGAATTACTTTGATTAAATCCACTCTTGCCAATCTACCAATTTATTTTCTGTCAGTATTTAGGATTCCCCAAAAGGAGGCTAAAAAATTGAGAAGTTAATGAGAGATTTCCTATGGGATCCAGGGATGGAAAGAAAGATCATTTGATTAAATGGGAGGTTGTGTGTAGAAGTCTGCAAGAGGGTGGGATGGTTGGAGGAACGAGATAGTTTGTGGCATAAAATAATAGCAAGCATACATGGGAGGTTGGGATGTAGGAGTATCTAATAGGGCCACATTGACCTCTCCGTGGAAAGCCATTCATCACACTTTGCCTTTTCTACTTCGGTTTGTAAGGAATGATGCTTGCTTTGGGACTTTTGTTAAATTTTGGGAGGATACTAGAGTGTTGGATGTAGTCTACTAAAGGATCTCTTTCCCACCTTATATTTGGTATCCTTGTATAAAAATGAATGTGTGTCTAAATTTATTGTTCCTCCCTTACTCCTTGTGGGCCCTAATTGGGACTTTGGCTTTTGGAGAGGTCTAAGTGGCAGTGAAGTTTCAGCTTGTTCGGACCTTTTACACATATTTCAAAATGTCAGTTTAGATCCTGATAACTTGATAAGTGTATTTGGGCCCCCCATCCCAAGGGCTTGTTCTCTTGTGCCGCTTTGTTTAAGACTTTGTGCATCTCTTCAGACCCTCCGTCGTTT